GGATTAAAGGCATTCGCCACCATGCTCTGCTTGGAACTGGATTCTAAATTCCAAACTGAGCTCTGAATTCAAATGATTCATGAGAGCCATTGTTATATGAGAAAGAGAACTTCTGGTCTGAGCCAAAGAACTCCCTCCTGGGGAATCTGGGGAAATAATGCAATGTCTTGACTTTTGATTTGATCGAATTTTATCTGTGCATGACTGCCCTCCCTAATTACACACATTATTCAAACCCATCATTCTGACTCCAACATGTGATATTTATTAGTCTTGCATGACCACAGCTCCCCCTCCTTTTAGAAAAGTTTCAAGTAGATGAATACAAGAGAATTTGCCTTGGTAAAGTTAGCTTCTGAAGCTACAGTGCCTTCAGTGAAAAGGAAAATTTAGATTCTGAAATTATAAATGAGAAAACTCTGTGGTCAAGGAACATCTTGACGGTATTGCTGAACTACAGCATTATGTACATGATCATTTTTCAAACTTTATAAGCAGCAACACATGAGAAAATCGGTACACTAACTATTCTGACTCAGTAGGTCTAAAGTAGAAGTTGGAAATTTAGTTTTAGCCTGCTGGTCAAACTTCTCTTGTTATTTATTATTATTGTATGTGTATGACTATTTTGCCTGTATTCATGTAAGTGCACTGCCTGCGTCAGCCACAGCCCTTGAATCTGGAACTATGGATGGGTGGGAGCCACCATATAAGTGCTGACATTGAACTCATCCTCTGCAAGAGCAACAAGTGCTCTGAACCATGGAGCAGTAGCTTCATCCCCTGAACAAACTTCTTTGTCACCATTCCTTCTGTACTTGGGAATGTTAATATATTGGCCCTCTCTTGCTTTTCTTTTTGCCCAGTAGCAAATTCAAGAAATTGTGTTTTGGTTTTTCAGTTCCCTCTTTGAGAAAAAAAAAAAAATCCCCTATTCTCTGCTTGCCCTTTGCAAAGGCCTGCTATATTTAGAACAACGTATCTAAATGCCATTTTCCCAAAGCCACATGGTTGTTTTTCCAGTTAAAGTAATGATTAATAAGTTCTTTTCTTTTCTTTTTTTTTTTTTTTTGAGACAGGTTCTCTCTACATAGGCCTGGCTGTTCTGGAACTTACTATGTAGACCATGCTGGTATGTAACTCACAGAGATCTGCCTACCTCTGCCAGCCAATAAGTTATTTTAAAAAATAAAATTAAACTAAACCATAAAGAATCATGATTAATATGAAAACACAAAGAATACTAACAAGAAGTTACATTCCTTTTGAAATTTAATTTTCAAAACACAGGTAAGAGTGCTGGAGAGATGACTCAGAACTTAAAAGCATTGGTTGCTCTTCCAGAAGACCTGAATTCAATTTCCAGCATCCACATGGCAGCTCATGACTGTCTGTAACTCTATTTCAGGGGATCTTACACCCTCTTCTGGATTCTGAGGGCACCAGGCATGGGTGCACAAACATACCTACAGGCAATACACCCACATACATAAAAAATAAATAAATACATACATAAATAAATACCATGGGTAGGGGATGTGGATATGGCTCAGTCAGTAATATGATGCTTTGAGACAGCATCTCACGCCATAGCTCTGGCTGGCCTCCAAGTTGTGGCAAGCCTCCTCTCTCAGTCTTCTGGTGCTGGCCTTACAAGCATGAGCCACCAAACTGAGCTAGATTAACATTTACCAAACACCTGTCATGTGACTCCAGTTGTGCAGTTAAGAACAAGTTTTATTAATTATATGGGTTAATTATATATAACTATATTTACTAATTATAAATTTTATTATTCAAGATAATGGTTCTATCCTAAGTCAGATGTATTTCAGGGAGAAGGCAGATATGTATATATATATATATATATATATATGTATATGTATATGTATATGTATATGTATATAATCAGACATTTAGCTAAGTGTGTCATGAAGAGGATTTCAGGGGAAGATTTTCAGTTTTAGGGAAATGTTCAAAGTGAAATTTGAGCAACGTTCACACAATACCTTGGCTATTCCCCACATATTCTGCACCATCATTGCCCCAGCACATCTTGCAAACAGGACAGATTGTAAGGAGAGGGTTTTGTGGTGTGGCTGGGTTGGTGTCCAGGTTTCTCTTTCCATAGACTGCAGAGTACTTTCTCACACCAAAGAGACTAGGACAGTGGTTCTCAACCTATAGGTCATGACCTCTTTGAGAGATGAACTACCCTTTCATAGCGGTCAAATATCAAATATCCTGGATATCCGATATTTACATTATTATTCATAACAGCAGAAAATTATAGATATGAAGTAGCAACAAAAATAATTTTATGGTTGGAGGAACTGTAATAGTGGGTTGTAGCTTTAGGAAGGTTGAGAAACACTGGACTAGAACATAGGGGTGAAGGCTCCATGCAGGCTCCAGCTCAACCATTCTACTTTCAAAAAGTTCTGTGGATGTTGTCCTTGGCAATGTTTGGTTTACCTTGAGGTCTACAACACGTGAGAACACAACCCTACACTGCCTGGATGGCCAGAAGCCAAAGACAGGCCAGCCTTGAGACCTACGGTAGAACCAAACATGACTGGCAAAAAAAAAAAAAAAAATCAATGAAATGATTCCTAGTGATATTCTACTTTACTCATAGATCAGTGCCTTGTCCCGTTGTCATCAGAGAGGCTTCCTCAAAAGCAGATGAGAGCCAGTGCAGAGACCCACACCAGACAGCATGCAGAGATAGAGTCTAAAATGGAAGTTTCTGTTGGGTCCTTCCCCTGGGAGAGCAGAGAACACCAAGGAAGATGGGGAGGAAAGACTGTAGGAATCAGAAGGGATGGAGGACACTGGGAGAACATGACCCACTGAATCAACTAAGCAGGGCTCATATGAGCTCACAGAGACTGAAGCAGCAAGAACAGAGCCTGCATGGGTCTGCACCAGGTCCTCTGCATATATGTTATGGCTGAGAGCTTGGTGTTTTGTGGAACTCTGTGGTGGTTTGAAAGAAAATGGTGGCCCAAGGGAGTGGCACTGTTAGGAGGTGTGGTCTTATTGGAGGAAGTGTGTCACTGTGGAGGTGGTCTTTGAGGTCTCATTTTTGCTCAAACATATATGAAGTTTCATATATGCCCAATAAGACAGACCACTTCCTGTTGCCTCTTAGTCAAGATGTAGAACTCTCAGCTCCTTCTTTATAGCACCATCTCTGCCTGCATGCTACCTTGCTTCCTTCCATGACAATTAAATGTTTTCCTTAATAAGAGTTGCTGTGGTCATGGTGTCTCTTCACAGACTCCTAATATTGAAAGCAGGTGTATCTCTCTCTATTGCCTACTCTTGGGACTCTCTTCCACCTATTTGGTTGCCTTGCCCAGCCTTGACTTTTCATGTCTTGTTTTATTCTGTTTGACTGTCATGTCTTGGAGGCCTGCTCTTTTTCTGAAGAGAAAACAAAAGGGGAGTGAATCTGGGGAAGAGTGAGAGTGTGGGTGTTAAGTTTCAAACCTTGGGACAAATGGCAGAGGGGTGACTATTTAGCACATCAAAGCAGACCTGGCTGCCAGGTTCTCCCAGCATCCTTCAGTCCCTACCTATTACAGGGTATGGCTGGCATACCCCACCCTCTACCCAGAACTTACCAGCTCCAGGTTCTGGGCTGCCCTTCCCTCATTGGCTCTTCCCTGTACAGTCCAACTATTTTGGTTACCTGCCCCTTTTGTACCTTTGCCTTCTTGCATGCTGCACCTAGTTCCCTTTCTCCCCTTCCTTTTCTCTCCCTCTGCCCACATGGCTCTGCTCAGTCAGGGTCATGTCCATTGTGGATGTCTCTGCCTCTGCCTGTGCTCTCTCTTTTATGTACAATAAACTTTTTCCACCACCATATCTAGGATCGAGCAGTCATGTCCTTTCCTTTTTATTTCTTTTTTTTTTCCATTCAAGAGGAGCTTGGAGGAGTAAAGAGAGGGGAAACTGTGGTCAGAATGTATTACATGAGAGAAGAATTTATTTCCTATAAAAAAGAAAAAGAAAGAAAGAATTCTACTGATGTCAAGTGGGGTAGAAAGAGATCACAACGGCATATTGTTCCAAGTAGCACAAAGACTAAAAGAAAAATCAATTATATCGTGTTGCTATGCAGCAGATTTTATTATTCAAGTATGGGAAAGGAAAGCCACTTTCGTTTCCTTGGTGTGAGTGGGTATTATTCTGTACCCCATGGCAGGATTAGACACACTGCCAGAGAGCAAGTACACAAAGTTGTTACGGAAACTAGAATGCTTCCATGCAGATATTTACAGAGAACTTCCAGGACCATCTTATTCAGCAAAATCAACTCCATTTGCTTTGCCATAAGCTGGTGGACTCTGAGGAAGGCTATATTCTTATGGGTTCTTTGATCAGCTGTCCTCTAGTAAATATAAATTCAAGAGCTAGGGGACGGTGACTACATCACCAAAGTGCAATTCGTGTAAGATTTTGTGTTCCATGTCAGAAACTTGCTCACACTTGCCTCAGCCATTGTCTGGTGTTCTGGTTCCTGTAATCTGAGAACAAGGTGGTTGCTGTGACTGTCTTCTGAGAGAAACATTTCCTCCAACAGCCACTGTCTGTGTTGTTTCATACTGGGATTCTTGTGTCTCTTTACGTTCTTTCTTTCTTTCTTTTTTTTTTTTTTTTTTTTTTTTTTTTTTTTTCGAAAGGGTTTTTTTTTTGTTTTTCGACAAAGGGTTTTTCTGTGGCTTTGGAGGCTGTCCTGGAACTAGCTCTTGTAGACCAGGCTGGTCTCAAACTCACAGAGATCCACCTAGCCTCTGCCTCCCGAGTGCTGGGATTAAAGGTGTGCACCACCAACGCCCGGCATCTTTACGTTCTTTCAGTTGCTGAGGAGAATAAACAGTGACAGCTGCCTCTGGCCATCAATTTTGTCTTTAATTGGGAAATTTTTCCAGCTGTCTCTGAAAACGGAATTTTTGTTTTGTTTGTCTCATTTTTTAGGGGATAATTGCATGATGAGGATTTTTGTGGCTTTTGAAGGGTCTTTTGAGGCATTTGATGTTTCAGCACATGAATCTGTGGAAGCCATCAAACAGATGGTAAAGGTATGTATTTTTAGTCAAGGGTCACTAAGAAGTATTCGAGTTTAATATTTGCATAGAATAGAAACACTATTGGGTACATTTTTAACACAAGGAACTAAGAGGATTTGAAAAATATCATTATTTGTTTGCATATGATATTGATAAGAATATGGTATATTTGGAGATCTTAGATAAGAATACAAACTAAGCCAGTAAATTCCGGGGAGGGAGGGTGTCAAGTTTCACTTCTCTTTAGTGAGTTCACAGGTTGTGCCCGGACCAGATAGCTAATTGCAATTATTCATAAAACGACAAAATGCAACATAATGTTAGTATATCAGAGAGTGCCAGTTGTTAGACAAATGCCTTGTTTGGTGAGCAAGCAGATATGACAAACCAAAGGATTTACGAACCAGAAAAGACATTAGTAAACTTGTGGGCTTCAATTTTATTTTGTATTCAGAGGAAACTGAGGCCCAGAGAGGGCATCCTACCCAAGCACCACACTACCAGAATTAAGAGACAGTCATAAAATGTTTAATTTAGAGGCTGTCATTCTCATTTATTAAGCAGTATTTCTTTTGTGCTTTGTTTTTTTGTGGGTTGCTTGTTTGTTTGGATAGGTTTTTTTTGTTTGTTTTTTGAGATGGGGTCTCACTATTTAGCTCTGGCTGCAGACCAGGCCAGCCTCAATCTCAGAGTGCCTGCCTGCCTCTACCTCCCCAGTGCTGGCATTAAAGAGTATGCCACCGTACCCAGCCATTCCAAGTATTTCCTGAGGAGTGTTAGTGTTGGGGGAGATTACTGCAATCTCGATCTAACACAGGAGATAATGCCGGTTATGTGTCATGTATCTGTTTGAAGTCCATAAAGCAGATGAGCTCCCTCTCAGAATGTTGTTAAATGCATACAAAAGAGGAGATAAAGAGAACCACACGGGGCATGGTGCTGCATGCTTAGAATCTAGCCCTGAGGACACTAGGGTGGGTGGATAAGAGATTGCAACCAGCCTAGGTAACAAAGTAAGAGACTCTCAAAGAAAACAAGAAGTGAATTGAATTCAAGTAAAATCTTCAAATAATAAAAATCACATTTATGACAGTGCCATGGGATATGAGATTGTATTGCTAACATTAGCCAAGAGGTTCTAACAGTGCACTTAACAAGTAGTATACTTTCAAATTAGTGATAAGCATACATAATATTCTGAATTATCTGTAGCAGCAGTAACGTGACATGGAAATGAATGCAATTTTTAATTGGTGACAAAGCCACAGGTACAGATAATGACTTAACTAAATGTAATTAAAGAGGGACAAATCTGTAGCAACTGGAGAGATGGCTCAGAGGTTAAGAGCAATAGTTAGTCTTTCAGAGGACCAGGGTTCAAGTCCCAGTGTTCACAGGGCAGCTCACTACCATCTGTAATTCCAGGTCCAGGGGCTCCAATTCCCTCTTCTTGCATCCCTGGGTTCCAGGCACACATGTGGTCACAGACATATATATGAGCAAAGCACTCACACACATAAAATAAAAATAATAAAAAGTTTTAAATAAAGGTTTAGCTTTTTCCCAACTAAAATCTATTTATAAACTTTTGGGTCACGATAGGGTCCAAGTTGTTAGGCCCCCAGAAAACTCAGGTATCCGGGGTCCCAGGCCATGATCTCGGTTACCCCAATCACCAGGCGGATTCAAGAGCTTGATGCAAACTGCATGAGGCTTTATTGTAATTTAACGAGCTAACCCCATGTTAGCTTGGGTCTTTCACCCACCCGCCATGGCGGATGGCTCACAAAGACAGCTCCTAGGGCCTCCCGAGAGATCTTATAGGACAGCATAAGGGGAGTGTCTAGGGGTATGCACAGGCTCAGGGTTGGTGTGCCTCCAGGCTTGGAGGGTTTGCCCTGTGTTGATTGGTCAACTGGTTGTTATGGTCCATAGGCCCTCCCAGGGTGGTTGCTATGCTTTGTGCGTCATTGCTGTGCGCTTGTCCTTAAAGCACACCCAGGGTCGTAAAGCATAGCACCACCAGCTAACTTCTGATTGGTTCCTTGTCACGAGGCAGGCATCTGACTTTCTAGTGACTAAGACAAGGTAAGTTAAGAACCCTATCCCATCTTCCTTCCCTTTGTTCTAAAACAATTATAACACCATTGGGAAGAGAGGTAAGAAGAGAGGAAGAAGGGTAAAGGGAGAGAGGGAGGAAGGGAGGGAAGGAGGCAAAGAAAGAAGGGAGCAGTGTATTTCTGGTCTGCTAATAAACAGGACTGTTTTCATAAGAGGCACTTCTCTTTAAGGATTACTTCCACATTCCTCTTTCTGAAGACCGACAAGGCAGGTGGTATCTAGAGCTGATGTATGCTGGAGCTACCCTAAGGAACAGCTGGAGTCTGTCAGATGTCGGAATATCTTTCTGCTCAACTCTCAAATGCTTCCTTAAGGTATGATAGAATAACCTTTGCCCAAGATGTCTCTCTCGTTTTGAGATAAGTTGTGGATGGCTCAACTAAGTACTTACACAACTTAGAAAAAGCTTTGCCTAGGCTGTGTGGTTGGTGCATACCTATAATCCCAGTGCTTGTGAGGCAGATATAACAATAGGCTAGATACCAAGATCCTAACAAAAAGAATAAAATAAATAGGTCTTTCTTTTCTTTCCATTTTTAAAAGTTTTTATTCAGATTTATTTATTTTATTCTATGTGTATGAGTACATGGCTGGTACTTGAGGAGGCCAGAAAAGGGTGTTGGATACCCTGGTGCTAGAGTTACAGGTGATTGTGAGCGACTTGGTGTGGGTTCTGGGAATCAAACTCAAGCCATCTGTAAGAACAGTACCTTCTTTTAACCCCTGAGCCATCTTTCCAACCCCATAAAGATTTATTTTTAATTATGTGTTTGCATGTGAGTACAGATGCCAGAAGAGGCCAAAGCAGTAGGATTGCCCCAGAGCTAGAGATACAGACAGTTGTGAGCTGCTAGGCATGAGAACCAAATCTAAGTCCTTTACAGGAATAGTACACACTCTTTTGGTTTTTCAAGACAGGGTTTCTCTGTATTGCTTTGGAGGTTGTCCTGGAACTCACTCTGTAGACCAGGCTGGCCTGGAACTCACAGAGATCCACCTGCCTCTGCCTCCCGAGTGCTGAGATTAAGGGCGTGAGCCACCAACTCGGGGCAAGTAGTACACACTCTTAACTACTGAGCCATCTCCCCAGGCCTTCTTGTCTCATATTCTCCTCTCTTCCTTTGATACTCATGGTCTTATGCATGTTTCAAGCCTGTAAAGGGTGGTAAGATATGGATACAGAATTCCCCTGCCCCCTTTCCATTCATCTCTCTTTCTTACCTCATCACTTTGCCACCTGTCTTATCACACCATACAGGACTCCCATAGATTAGAGCCTGATGGATGGTTCTGAAATATCTGTAGAGTGAAGCAGATGAGGTCACTTCCCTGGTCATAAGGATTAGGGACAGTGATGTGACAAGAGGAAATTCTCAGTGTCAGAAAGAGTGGCAGGGCAGCATCTGTGTTGGCTAGTTTAATGTTAACACAAGCTAGAGTTTTCTGGAAAGAGGGTGTTGGAGCCTGCTCCAATGAGTCAGCTGAGTTACCTGAGTAGGGGCATGAGGATTGAGAAAAGGCAGATAAAAGAAACAGAGAGAAACACAGGATAGATTCGGAAAGACTTCTCAGCCCATGCCTTTCAGTACATTGGAAGCCACAATTTTAATTTAGACCCTGCTTATATACAGACTAAAGGCAAAGCAGAACAAAGAGCAGCATAATCAGTTAACCAGCTCCCTGCCCTGTCCTTGAACTGAGGAACAGCCAGACTCACTATCTATCATGTGGGTCCTACTAGCAGCAAATAGCTTCATTCCCTATCTCTATGTGCCTACAGCTGGCATCTGTAGCTCATTAGAGAGGTAATATACTCTATCCTATGGGCTTAATCAGAACTTTCTCACGGCTCTCAAGGAGACTGGAGTAAGCAAGCTTGAACTCTGATGTCTTATAAGTCAGAATAGACTCCAGATGGAAACTGTGTCGCTTGTGGGCTCCCACAAGAGGGAATCTCAGTTGAAAAATGTCCCTACCAGACTGGCCTGTGGGGCATGTTCTTGATTGATGATTGATGTGGGAGTATCCATCCCACAGGAGGTGGTACCACACCTGGATTGGAGGAATCCATGGGTAGCAAGTCAGTAAACAATATTCTTCCAAAGGCTCCAGTCTCCAGATCCTACCCTGCTTCATTTCCGGCCCTGATACCCTTCAGTGGTGGACTACAATGTGGAAGTAAGAAGTATAAGCTGAAACAAATTCTTTCCCCAAGCCAGGCATTGGTGGCTCACGCCTTTAATCCCAGCACTCGGGAGGCAAAGGCAGGCAGATCTCTGTGAGTTCGAGGCCCGCCTGGTCTCCAGAGTGAGTTCCAGGACAACCCCCAAAGCTACACACAGAAACCCTGTCTGGGGAAAAAAAAAAAAAAACAAAAAACAAACAAACAAACAAAAAAAAAAAAACAAGCAGTTCTTTCCCCCAAGTTGCTTTTGGCCATTGTGTTTTATCACAACAATAGAAACCCTAAGACAGTATCTATATCCAAATTCAGACAAAGTAGACATCAGAACCAGGTATGTGTGCAAGAGAAATGTCTTTCCCATTTTTAGGGTACACTTAATTAATGGTGCAAAACTGGGGATCCTGGGCTCAGCTTTCATTAAGAACTTTACAGAACCCTAACCCTAAAATATACAAAACTGTGTGCTTTGGTGTTTTCTGGACTCAATATCTTTAACTTGAAATTAGTTTTTAATGAGACAAGTGACCCAGTGAAGAGCTGCTGTTTATGCTGGGCTAGAAACAGTAACTTATGCTCTTTTTCACCACCGAAAGCATGAGTTCTCATCCCATCTAAATGTAACACTTATTTGCTCATATTTAGCAGTAAAAAATGTTTCTGATATTCAAAATTAACTCAATATGCTTATATGATTTACTAAGATGTTTTAAAAGATACTCTCCTATATTAACTACTAAAGACATGTCATAAAAATGCTAAGTATATCCATTTATATACTTTTAGTGTTTTCTGAGCATTTATTATTCATGTATTCCTTATATATTTAAGAGTATTTAACTACCAAAAATGAAATTAAAATGACTGTAAGTTCTCCAGTTTTCCTTCTTTAATACTCAGAAAATACTTCTAAAGCAAACCAAAGTATATTTCTTTTCTTTTCTTTTTCTGACAGTGTCTCGCTATGTATGTATCCCAGGATGACCTCAAACTTTTGATTCAAGATGCTAGAATCACAAGTGTGCACCACTAGGTCCCGCTTCTTTGTCATTTCTTAAGTAGCTTCTCCTTGTGTCTTTGCATGGGCTCTATACTGTGTTCAGGCACTGCACAGCTACACAGAATCAACTCCTTATGATCACCATGCACTATTGAATGACAATGATAAGGGCCCAGATTTTTATTTATTTATTATTTTATTTTATATGTGTAGGCATTTTACCTGCATGTATCTCTGTACATCACATGTGTGCCAGGTGTCTGTGGAGGCCAGAAGAGGCTGTTGGGTCCCCCAGAACTGGTTTTGGAGATGACTTTGACCTTCACGTGGGTGCTGGGACTCAAAATTCAAACATGGGTCCCCTGGCAGACCTGCCAGTACTCTGAACCACCAAGCCTTCTCTAGCCCCAAGTTTTGGGTTGTTTTGTTTTGTTTTGTTTGTTTTTCTTTTCTTTTAATTGTTTGCTTACTTAGAGTGGTATAAGTTCAATTTTAATATTTGAGCTGTCAGGGGACATTTAATAGCTGGACATATATTGAGTGATTTTATTTAACTAAGATCTTCTAAGATCTTCCTTGGTCTTTATTATTAAACACTTAAATTTTATCTATTTTCAAATGGTGACTATATTCCCATGTTCTCAATTCAATAGATACAAAAGGATGTATATAGTAGAGTCCCCCAACTCTGACTCCAGGTTCCCTCCCTTAGGGCAATCTGTATCCTTAGTTATACTGACAAAAACATTTCACAGGTACTGTCAATACGTCATCATTCGCCCAAGTCCAGCAAGCTCTGCGCTGAACTCTAATCTTTTTCTGGGGCTCAAAATTGCAATGAAAGCAGTAGACTAATGCTGGCAAAATAGTTTGTTCGAGAGAAATGAGACAGACAGTGGTTATGACTAACATGCTGATCAATCAACACAGGGTTTCATTAGAAACTCTCACATTTTATAGGAATTTTACTGACTTCACTCTTCATTCTGTCCACTAGAGTTACACCTAGAGCTTGTTACACAGACTTTAAGAAGGAAAACAGTATCTTTAATAAGAAAAGAATTGCCTAAATGTTGGTCCCTATTTCAGTTAGATGACTAAACAGGCTATTGCTAAAGCCTGTAGTATTTACTACATGCATATGATAACTACTGAAAATGAACTTCCAATAATAAAAGTCTCCATTGAAAAAATTCCAACATACATTTGATCCATATCAGGTAACCAAAGGCTGCTTTCCAAACATATTATTGCTTTATTGCATAACTATATATATAACTATATATAACTATATATATATATTATATATATATATATATGCACTGTCCTTTTTCTGCAACATTTAATTATATTTTTGTGTGCGAGTTAGTTCTGTCTTCTGAGAATCTAGGGAAGCTAAAGCCTTTTAACTTACTTTAGTATAGGTTAAAAATATGATAAAAGTCAGGAACTCTTACTGAGTTCAAAAGTTTACCAAGTAAACATTTTTTCTTTTAAAACATGAACAAGTAGATATATGTCATGAAATAAAACCAAGGTAGTTGCTTTTTATTATGCTTATATTTTGCGTAGTTTATGAAGTATTGCTTATTTAGGTGATAAAGAGATCTTAGGCAAATATTTAGGTGACCTACTGTTAGTCACATTTTATTTTTTTTATTAGAAAGAAAATTATTTTACATGTCAATCCCAGGTCCCTCTACCTCCCCATCTCTCCTGCCCCCCCCCATAACACCTTACCTATGCTATACCCTTTTTGCTCCCCTGGGAGGGTGAGACCTTCCATAGGGGGTCTTCAAAGTCTGTCATATTGTTTGGCATAGGGCCTAGGCCAACCCCCTTGTGTCTAGGCTCAGAGAGTATCCCTCCATGTGGGATGGGCTCCCAAAGTCCATTCCTATGCTAGGGATAAGTACTGATCCACTACAAGAGATACCATAGAGTTCCAAGGTTTCCTCACTGACACCCACATTCAGGTGGTCTGGATCAGTCCCATGCAGGTTTCCCAGCTATCAATCTGGGGACCAAGAGTTCTCCCTTGTTCAGGTCAGATATTTCTGTAGGTTTCACTAGCCTGGTATGGACCCCTTTGCTCATCCGTCCTCCTTCTCTGCAACTGGATTTCAATTCAA